CTTAAGGACTGGATGACAACATATAGCTTGGTCAGGAGAAAAGCATTTTGACTATATTCTACACAATATACAATAAGTTTCTCTCTTCCTCATATTTTTATATGTATTTTCTCTTCATCCACAGCCTTTTATGCAGGTACTCCTTGACTTACAACAGCTCATTTAGAGACCATTTGAAATTACAATGGTATTGAAAAAAGTGACTTATGACCATTTTCACACTTACAACCGCTGCAGCATCCCCATGGTCACATGATCAAAATTCAGATGCTTAGCAACGGGTTTATATCAGGGGTGAAATCCAGCAGGTTCTGACAGTTCTGGAGAACCGGTAGCAGACATTTTGAGCAGTTCAGAGAACCAGTAGCACAAATTTTGAGTAGTTCGGAGAACCGGCAAATGCTACCTGTGACTGGCCTCAGAGTGAGGTGGGAATTGAGATTTTGCAATATCCCTCCCCTTGTGTGGGATGGGAATGGAGATTTTGCAGTATCCTTCTGCCACGCCCACCAACCCATGCCAACCAACCCATGCTCACAGAACCGGTAATAAAAAAAAATGGATTTCACCACTGGTTCATATTTATGATGGTTGCAGTGTCCTTGGGTCATGTGATCTGCCTTTGCGACCTTCTTACAAGCAAAGTCAATGGCGAATCCAGATTCACTTAACAACTGTGTTACTAATTGAACAAATGCAATGATTCACTTATCAGCTGTGGCAAGAAAAGTCGTAAAATGGGGCAAAACCCATTTAACAAATGTTTCACTTAGCAACATAAATTTTTGGCTCAATTGTGGTTGTAACTTGAGGACTTCCATTCCATCAAACATCCATTTTCATACTTCTCAGCAGTGCAATTCCATACACTTTTGTTACATGGCACTCTGTGGCATAATTTTCCACTCTATTGCATTTGGCTTTCATATCTTCTTTCTTTATATATTTTTCTATTTTGTGCCTTCAAGTCATTCTGGACTCCTGGTGACTGCTTGAACTAATTTCAGCAGTTTTCTTGGTAGGATTTCAGAAGTGATTTGCCATTGCCAGCTTCTTTCTAAAGCTTGAAAGTGAGTTATGGTCTAAGGTTACCCAGCCAGCTTCATGCCTAAGGCAGGACTGAACTCAGTTTTCCACTTTCTAGCCTGGTTCTGTTAACCACTAGACCAGAGGTCTTCAAACTTGGCAGCTTTAAGACTTGTGGAGTTCAACTCCCAGAATTCTCCAGCCACATAGCTTGAAGACCTCTACACCAGACCAAAGTGGATATCTTCCTCATGTGAACTTTCCCTTTATTCTCTTAAATGTATCATGTTGGCCCTAGTTTACACATTGATCAAGGACTGAATTTTTAAGTTTCACACAAGATAAATACCACTACAAATCAACATTCTTCAATGTAAGGTTTATTGAAGAACGTAAGTGACATTAAGATACATTAAAAATACAATGATCTCTAGATTACCACATGTGTTTGAATAAACTTTCAATTTATTTAGCATGAAAAGAAAAAAAAAATCCCTCAAGGAATAAAAGCGACACTGTTCCACTTGACAAATCAGTCACAAACTCAAACCAGCAATATAGCTCTATTGCTAATTTAAAAGTATTATAAAATTGATAAAACTTTTCAATCAGATATCTATTCAAAAATAACTGCTCTGTATATGTTTTTCATTCAGTTTAAAGTATTTAAGTGATCAAGAAAGGTGACACTCAAACCCTAGGTTCTCTTAGTCTCCAGCATTTCTGATTACTATATTTTGTAAAAACAAAATGCTATACTCTAATTATACCCACTAGGTAGAGAGGTAACCTGAAATATTCGTAAGTAAAGTATAAGAAGCTTTGAAGTGACACAGTAGGTGGCTGAAGTGAGAATTAAAGTTGACATGCTTCTTAAGTTCTTATGGTATAGTTTTTAAAATATTCTACTTCCAGGCACCTGCTGATGGTAAGATTCTTCCAATCCTGTGATATCATTAATTAAGTTAATTTCAGCTATTTCAAAAGCAAACAAGTTATTCCTTGTGTGTTAATGAGAAGCCTTCACAAGATCTAAGTATTTTGTTTGCATATCAGAATGGAAAATAGCATTAAAGATCCAGGGTACCAATTACTTTTATGTCTATTTAGAAATACAGGGTCATGGGTTGACCTCTCCTCACACCCATTCAACCTACTGACATGGGCTTTCTTAATTATTTTAAACAGCTCTACCAGCTTCCAGCTTTAACATTTCCCTAACATGTCCAGAAGTTATAATGAAAAATGCTATAATGAAGAAAAGGCTTTTCATCATTCTTTTTACAAGCACACATTACTTCATTATTAGACCTTTGGCTTTGCATTTCAGAACCTGATAGGAGGGGATTGGTTAGATTACTTAGCACCTAGGGGGGGGGGTCTTGTAATATTTTCCCCTCCCTCCTTCCTTCCCTTCCCTTCCCTTCGCTTCGCTTCGCTTCGCTTCCCCTCCCTCCCTCTTTCTTTCTTTCTTTCTTTCTTTCTTTCTTTCTTTCTTTCTTTCTTTCTTTCTTTCTTTCTTTCTTTTTGTTTTCATGATACAAAACAATTTTCCACTCAATTCTTGAAAGAGATGTGCTATTTCCATTTGTATGAAACTGAGGTGGTAATCCAAATGCCTACAGATGCTGTTGATCTTAGGGACTGATGAATCTTTAAAAAAAAAACAAATCCAATTTTTCACCATTTTTTTTTACAGTGAATCTATAGAAACAAACCAAATGAATTTAAGCTTTAATGATTCAGTGGTCCACCATGGGATATGAACCAGGAGGAGTAAACATTCCAGTACCCAGGATAAAATGCCTGTGGTTCCAACTAGTGACCAGAGAGATAGACTATACCCACCATAATGCACAGTAGTCAGTAGGAATGGTGTCATGTGTATATAAAATAATAAAACAAATGAAGCACAGCAGACACACTACACAGGACAGGTATTTTATTTGCATTGTTGTCTTTCTCTTCTTTTTATAACCCTGTAATCGCTTAATTTAGGGTACAGTTTGGGTGACTGAATGGAGCTGAGCATTTACTGGCCAGATACCCTTCCTGCCACCTACATGGAGTTTGCAGCAGATATTTTCTCTTTGTGCCCTGAGACAGAAACATCTGCCACTACCCAGGATTGAACTGTCAACCTTCCAAATGGGAGGTAAGCATCTTCAACACTAGCCACCTTGCTGCTCATGCTTGAGTTGCTGTCTGAGGATATCAAATCTTCAACCATCCTCAACATATATCATAGGAATAGATGCATTTCCCATTCTAAATCTTAAATTTAGAATTTAGCAAACACATGTTTTTAATTTACTTATTGAAGTGCTTAGTCTTCTTTTGCATGTTTAAAAAATGTATTGTTACTACTATTATAAGAGTGTCCCAAACATGCTCCCTTGATGAATCTGAAAAGGTGAACTTGAGGAACAGTTTAATGGAATTAAGTGGGGATTAGGACTAACATTGCATCTTCATGATAGGCCACCACATTTTCTGAAAAAGTCTTGGGTCAATTTTGCACACTTTTATAACTGAAAACTGAAATGCACAATTCAAAATGTCAGAATTTGTAAACATTGTAATTTTTAATGTGACAGGAAAGAAAAGATACTCAAAACCTAACTGGATTGTACTTCAATTAAATTGTACTTCAATTAAAATTAGCATGAAATCAAAAGCAGCTTTTGTTCTGGCCCTACTCAAAACTTTTAAGGGTTCAACCACCCATATGCTACTTGACTAAGACCAGAAAAAAAGTGGGAACTCTTCATTTAAATTTAACTTGCGTCAAAAGGAAATGGCAGACAAGTATTCGCAGTCATCACTGTGAGTTTCATTTCCCTTCACAAGCCTCTATTGGAACCATTTCTTTTTAGAAAACTTTTTTTATTGTTATTTGTCATGGAGAGACTTCATGAAGAAAGCCAACATTTGATTAGAAACATATATACTGTATGTCCAGTTCATCTGGATTCATTAATACCGAGTACAATAATCACCCTTAAAAAATAAACATTCAAATTTGGATTGGACAATGGGGAATGGGTGGTGAGAAAGTGCTTCAAAGTTGGATCATTCCAGGGATATTTTTTCCTTTCCATATTGTGATTGTGAACAGTTGCTCTGGCTGATTTATGATTATCTTTGGAGGTCCAGTTAATATGACCTAATGGCCTATTGAGACACATAAATCCATTAGCCACACAGGACAAAATAAGACTAGGCCTTTATAGCTGTAGCACCTTGACAATGACACTCTTTCCCGAAGGGGAAAAAAAAGGCTTTTTATTGCTGTTTTGAAAAACAATAAATATAATTTTACACTATTTGGCTTTTAATAAATTATGATAGGGGGTACTCCTTGGGGCCTGATGACAATTGGGAATTGAAATTGTTGCCATTAAGCAATGCAGTCATAAACTGCTATAACATGTCAGTGCATTGCTTGGTGATGGCAATTCCAGGAGTCTTGGTTGCCAGGTAACCTCAGGTCATGTGGGTCATTAAGTGGGAAAAGGCCAGAGTCTCAGGTATGGTGTGTAGGTGGTTCAGTGGTACAGATGCCACAGGGTGATGGCATGAGCAGGTGCTAGGGAGTGCAGGCAGGCCAGTGAGGACAGCGGGCAGGGCTTGGTAGCATAGAATAGCGGGAAATGGCCACAGGCAGTCAGTGGGAAGTTTGGGCAATACAATGGGTTCTAGAGGAGTGGGGATGCTAAGGGTAGGTCTACAGTGTGTAGGTGAACCAATGGAGGCTGCAGGCTGGCTAGTGAGTGCAGTCTAATGGGAGCCAGGGCTAGGGCATCCCATGGACAGTTCTAGAGAGAATGGGTAAACTGGTAGTGGCTGCACACTGGATAGTGAGCCTAGGCTAGAAGGGGCCACAGGCTGTATCATCCAGCTGACCTTGTCCAGAATGCATTGCTTATTAGGTGCCTCCCATTGGACTGCTTCTATTTCCATTCATTTCAGAATATCCTTACATAATACATTCACAACAGAGACCAGCAGTATGGATTCCATAATTTCTGTTTTAAAAATTGGCACATTCCAGAAAGGTTAGTTTGCATGAATCCCAGTGATTTCAGTGGACTTTTAATAATGTGCTTGTATTTCTACCAAGCAAATCAATATGAGAAACTGATTTGATATGACTGAGACATGTGGGTGGCATGGATTATTGGTAGGAGTTCCATTCCAGCTTGCCAATCATGGGGAACAAAATTGCAGATCGTGAGAAAAATAATTTTGTGTTTATGCGTGTGTGTGTGTGTGTGTGTGCACCTGTGTGTGTACATGTATGTATATGTGTTTGTGTGCATATATACACACAAACACACACACACACATATATGCACACAGAATAACAGAATTGGAAAGGACCTTAGAGGTCTTCTAGTCCAACCCCCTGCTCAAGCAAGAAATCCTATACCATTTCAGATGAATAGCTGTCCAATTTCTTCTTTAAAATCTCCAGTTATGGAGCACTGCAGTTTGACCCCTCTTCTTTGTGGCAGCCCCTCAAATATGCTATCTGATATTTAAGTGATTTTCCACTAGGACAATCCCTCTCACAGTTACTGCTATTGAGCCAGGTATCACCAATCTACTGCCTATTCTATACCTGTGCATTTGGTTTTTCATGACTAAGCATAAAACTTTACTATAGATAGAGCCAAGTGTTCAAGTCAGTCAAGATCCTCTGGATCTTAAACCTATCTTCTTGTGTGCTGGTTATGCCTGCCAGCTTGGTGTCATCTGAAAATTTGATGAGTTCCTCTTCTATCCCCTCATTTAAATAATTTAGTGAAGGGATATAAATCATTTATACGGATGTTGAAGGGTATTGGTCCTAAGACAGAACCTTGGGATACCCCACTGCATACTTTCTTTCATGCAGATGTAGGACTACACACTGAGTGCATTTTGTTAGCCAGTTATGAATCCATCTGATGGTGATACTATCTATCCCACATTTTCTATCTTACCAAGAAGTTGGTTGTGGTCTATTTTGTGAAATGCCTAACTGAAGTCCAAGGGTAGTATGTCCACAGCACTTTACTGGTCCATTAATTTAATCACATTGTCAAAGAATGAAATAAATTTTGTTTGGCATGAGCTGTTTTTTTTGCCAAACTCATGTTGTCTTCTGGTTATAACTTTGCTTGCTTCTAGATGTTTACAGATCTGTTGCTTGATTATCTTTTCCAGCATCTGCACATGTATTGATGTCAGGCTGTAGTTTCCCAGATCCATTTTCCCCCATTTTTGAAGATAGGAATCATACCAGCTTCTTTTCCAGTCCTCTGGTAGTTCCCCAGTGCCACATAATCTTTGAAAGATATGGTTCAGTGGTGGTATTGTGTGTCTGTGTGCTTGCAAATAGTCATCCATCATTTTGCTTATGTATAAAACACATAAATTTAAATAACTAACCCTTCAAAAATCTCCCTGCAAACAAAACCATGTACCAAAGTCTCACTTATGTCAAATTCTTTACCACAGATAAACGGTCTGATTTGTATTTATCAACTGCAGATATGTGAAACTGTATATAATGGAACCAGCTGTATTTTTCTTTATCCAAATAAGAACTGCGTTTTTGAAGACAAGAAAAGAAACATAGAAAATGTCTTACTTCTTTAGAGATAATAGATGGCAAAAGATGTTTTTGACATGTGTTCAAATATGAGACTAGTAAAAAGGTATTAAAATATTTAAATGTGGCATATAAGGGAGAACTAGAAAAGCTATTGGTACAGAACAGACCTTTCCTAGTACTTTGTCCTATTAATATTACATGTGCTGATGTACTTGTGGCAGAACATCTTTTGGATATTTTTAAGCAGAAGAAAAATAACATGCAGAAAAGCAAGTGCACTGAAACAGAAGGAAAAAGACAAGGACATATTTTGCATGTTGTCTGAATTAGAAGGAATGGAGGAAAATGCACACAGTCAAAATAATACTTCAGAAGACAATTCTGTTGAATCAGCATCCTTTTCATAAACCACCTCTTTGATAATAAAAGGATGCTACTAAATGTCTCATAAAATGAACCTTCTGGTTAGAACAATTCTTCTTCCTACTTTGTAAACTTCACTACTATATTTTTGACATGGATTGTAAATCCCACATTCAGAAATGGAGATGAGAAAATAAGCCCATAATTTTCTACAGTCTGCTATGTGTTCAAACATTTAGGCAACAGGCAAACATATTTTTCTTCTGTTCATTCTGGATTGTAAATTTAGTTTTAAAAGAGAGAAAATTATTAGTGAGCATTACTGTATTCATTAATGGTAGGCTAAACCCATTTATCTTTATGGATAGATAACAAAAAATGTTACATGCTGTATATCAGATATTTCTTTATGATAAAATGCAGAAGCCCGAGTTAGAATAGGACATCATTTTTTTTCACCAAAGTCAGCATATTGCAGCTTTAAACAATGAGTGATAAAGAAAATAAATTCTAACAAATTAGAAATCATATTGAATTGGTATGTTGGATGATTACCTGAAAGGATTATGAATTCAAAATTTGATTAGAAACTATGGTTTACATTTGGTTTTTAAGCTGGAGATAGTCATCTCAACATGTATTGTATAAAGTAAAAAAAATCACAAAGGGAAAAATATTTCTGTATGGAAAATATCAGCCCTTCATCCATCAATTCTCTTCCTCAGATTGTGTTCTCTGTTCACTGCTTTTCATAGCAGCATGAGGTTAGCTAAAATCCATGATTATTCCAACGTATATTCTCATGGTGGTTAAACAGATATAAACAGCAAATGGGATAACTCCTTCCCCTGCAGTTGGTCTTCAGCACATATTGCTTGCCACCAGGGGTGAAATGCTACCGGTTCGCACCGGTTCAGGTGAATCGGTAGCTGCGGCGACGGCGGGTGGTTTGGAGAACTGGTAGCAGTGGCAGCGCAAGACTCCGCCCACCCACTCGGATGTTGTTACTTCCTGGTTTTAACCAGGAAGTAACCTGTTTTTTACCTTCTGCACATATGCAGAGGGTCCAAAATTGCATGTAACAAGCAGAATGAGTGCGTGTGTGCACCACACACTTTCAAACCGGTAGGAAAGGTAAGTAGATTTCACCCCTGTTTGCCACCCTTAAACCTGAGGTAACTAGTACTGATTTTTCAAAGTGAGCAGTCCTTAATAGGTCTGACTTTCCTGAATTCTTTCAATCCCCTTTTAAAGTTTTCCAAGTAGGTGATCATCACCTTGCATAATTTTAATGAATTTCACAAGTTATCTATTCAGTGGATTAAACTGTTATATCATTAATGACCAAAATCTCTCAGTCATTAACAATTAAAAACAAACAAGAAAAATCAAACTAAAATCAAATGTTAACAGCAGTTAAAAAGCAATTAGGACAAACAAGTAGTATAAGTTGAATTAATAATTAAAGTTAACAGTTCAAATCAGCAGTTAAACAGTATGAAAGTGTTTTAAGGGCCTCTTAACAAGCTAATAATGATGTCAGGCCCTCTCGATTCCAGAGAGAGTGCATTCCAAGAGGCAGCCTAGTGACAGAGAAAACTCAGTCCGAATTTACAGCCAAAAAAGCTTGCAACAAATAGACAGAATGTCCTTACTTAGTAGGGGTGGGGGTTCAGAAAGAAATAAGATCCCTATTAAATAAGCCATGTTGATTTTAAAGTTAATGACTTTTGTATTTTGCCTGGAAAAAATTAACAGTCAATTCAGTATTTGAAAGATAGGTTTAATTTTATATTTCTCCTTCTTCTTAAGACTATCTTGGATACTACTGTGCTTTCTACCAGATTCAGAGTAAATAGAAGGCAGTTCTACATTAGTACATTGCTGTAGGCAATGGACCTGGACGTTACCAGTATGGGCTTCACAGATACAGATATTTATTTATCTAATCGATTGTTTTATTTCACTCTTCCAAAATAGCCACATTATTCAGCATTTATTAACAAATGTTGTAGCTATAATATCACCCTTGGGTTACATCAAATACATAATAATGTATCTCTTAATGAGGCCTAGATTAAAAATTCATTTTAATCATCTATCAGTTAGTCCAAGTCAATATTCCCACTTTCAATTTTTCCATATCGTGATCATTTTCCCAATTTTTAATATTGGATTCCCCATGAAGTCAATTAAGCATGGGAAAAGAATTGGTTTTTTTTTTTTTCATTAGACATCTTTCTAGCAGATACAATTGTTTCCAAAGAGTTCTATTGTATTTAGACCCTAATACTGTCCATCTAATCAAAAGTGTTCTATTCATTATGTATATTATAATGTTCCCCAAATTGGAAAACGGACACATTTGTTGGCTTCTAATAATTAATCATAGATAAACTTGATAATATAACTGCAGATTTGGAAAATCAAATCCTCCCTTATTCACTGATATTTCCATGTTCTGTAAAGTTATTCTCAGAATTGAAGAACCCCATAAACATTTTTAAACAATGTTTATTTTCTGAAAATATTTCCCAGATATCTGTAGAGGCATAGTCATTTTAAGAGCACCTTTCCCCAAAGAGTAAGGTTTTATGACTCCCTTCTATCCATAACTGAAGAAACCTCTTTATATATTTTATTTGTGTGACATGTTACTGAGCTATATCTTTTGGTATGCACATAGCTAAATATTTAATGGCTATGGAACAAATATGGAATTGATATTCTTGAATGGGTAGGTAAATTAACCATTTTCTCTTACTGACATCAGTTTAAATCAGTTAATAGACTGTCCTGATGTATATCATTTGCATGAACACTGGAATGGTAGAGTGATGTTTAGAAATAAACAGAAGTATGTCAACCCCTTGTCTGGACTTAAGCAATGTTTATCTGCTCATTGCCTTGGTAACAGATCTTCCTTCTCTCTGTTGAGTTCATCCTCTGTACTTTCTACACACAGAAAACTCTTTACTCAACTATGTGGGGAGCCTAGCAACTACCAGAACTGATTGAAAAACTCCCAAGAGAAAGTTTACAGGTGAAGAAGTGGTAACAGGCCAATGTCCTGGAAGTATGTTATATTATAAAGAAATGTAATTAGTTAGGATGGCCATCTTCATACTGTAAACTGTGAAGATGGAATTGAAGTTCATTTGTAAGAAAATGATATGATATGATTGTCTTTTTGATTTTGAAGAAACAGCTTTTCCTCAGATTCATCATCAAGGCACAGCTGGAATAGATCCACATCAAGCTCTAGATCTCATTTACTTGAGTGACCACCAAAACACAAATGTCATTCTTCCTGCTGAAGCAAAGAGCTGAAACATGAACTTGATACATTTGGGAACTGAATTTGATTTATTCTTTACTGATAACTTTTGCTTTAATCAGCTCTTATGAAGCTGCATTCATATTTTGTTAACTATTTTTATGGTTCATTGCATAGTTAGCCAGATGTTCAGACTGGATTTGGCATTCCCATCTACCTATCAAGTTCTTCCCAAGGAGCTGGGATAGGCAGATGTGGATGTTTGATGGTCTTAAAGGTATTGTCACAGGACACAGAACAGTAAGCTGTTCCAAATAAAGCTGCTTTTTGCAATTGACTGCTGGTGAGTTGTTACTATTTATTAAATGTACATATTATAGTATTTATATTATACCATTTCTATGGATGTCTTTACATCTTTATATCCAGAATGGAACTTGCAATGCAATGACTTAATGCCGCTTCTATCAGTTTACCCCTCTGATCTACCCCTGGGGATGATTCTTCCTCTTGCTAGCAGAACTTTCAACTTCTAAGGCATACTTTTAATTTGAGATGTTAGCTATTGTACCTGAAGACTTTTTAGCAACAATCTCTTCTGGAGATTGTTTTCTTCCCATTATTCATGTTGCAGCTTCTTCCAAGCAGAAACATATTGTCCTGCTTATTCTAAAGATTAATGGCATTACTGGCAGACAATAGTTAAGCCAAAAGTTAATAGTCTGGAATATTTAGCAATAACTGCTTATTTCAGTAATAATTGAGATGCCCAGGAGAATGATTGAGATGAAGTTCAAAGCTGTGGTATTATCTAATTGGAACTTTTTTTTTTTATTAAAATGGAAATCATGCTCATACTTTCTCAGAGGAAAGCAGAAAAACAATATACACAAAATTGACAACTGAAGTCTAATAAGAAAGCTACACTGTTGATATATCAGAGGTGGGTTTCAGCAGGTTCTGACCAGTTCTGGAGAACCGGTAGTGGAAATTTTGAGTAGTTCGGAAAACCAGTAGTAAAAATTCTGGCTGGCCCCGCCTCCATCTATTCTCTGCCTCCCAAGTCCCAGCTAATCGGGAGAAATGGGGATTTTGCAGTAACCTTCCCCTATATTGGGGAGGAAATGGAGATTTTACAGTATCCGTCCCATGCCACACCCACCAAGACATGCCATGCCCACCAAGCCACACCCACAGAACCGGTAGTAAAATGTTTTGAAACCCACCACTGTTGTATATCATTGTGAATAGGAGGATGGACAGACAGAGCATGAAGGTTCTAAAACTTTGAATGAATGTCTCCACTATATTTCCATTTCCCCCCAAAAAAAAGAAATAATATCAACCATACCAAGAATAGAATCATAATGTCTCATTTGCAAGGTTCTCAGCCATATATATAAAATTTATTTCAAGAAACTCTAACTTTATTTTCCTTTCCTCTTCTTAATTTCATTACCTTATTTATTCCTAAGCATCTTTAACTTGTATGAATGTCCATTAATCTACTGAAATAGTGAAGAAACATATTTCTAAGAAAAGGATGGCAAGTGGTTTTTAAGATATCCCATCATGCTTTGGGGTATGCATAAGGAACAGATGCTAAAAATAGAAAATCTCAAGGTTTATTTACTGCAGTTTCATAATCCCCATATTCTTTTTGGAGAAAGAAAACATCTATAACATTGTTTTAGTTTCTCTATTATACCGTTCCCACCCAAATAACAAGAAGAGAGGTACTGTGAAAAAGTAAGAGGGTCTGTTTCAGGGTGAAATCTACTTATCTTCCTTACCGGTTCGGAAGCACACATGCTGCATGTGTCACATTCGCTTTGCGCATGTACGCGTGCATTACATGTGCGTGCACACCTTCTGTGCATGCACAAAACCTTCTGCGCATGAGTAAAACCTTCTGGTTAAAACCAGGAAGTAATGACACCCGGGTGGCAATCGCTACTAGATCGCTGAACCACAGGGAAAAATCGCTACCGGATCAGGCGATCCGGTCTGTTCCAGGAGCATTTCACTCCTGGTCTGTTTGCCATATCATTAAAACAATCGTATTAGCTTCTGATTTAGAAAGTTATCATGGGGAACATTAATTAGCTAAAATTGATGGACCAAGGGCTGGTATTTACAGATGTTACTAAGAGCTTCCTATCTTTCTCTTGTTCTTTGAAGTCTAATTCTACCATTGTATATTAATCAAGATTTTAACATTAAATGATGTTTTAGTAGTCCACAATAATGTGTAGGAGACATAGCTTAACAAGAAATTATTTATAACCATTTGTCTTTTTTTTTTTTTTAAGATTCTGAATTTTTCAGAAAGACATTATAGGACAGATGTAAAAAATACCATCTCTGAAAATAAAATATAGTTTTAACATACTTATTGGTTAAAAATCTCTTTTATTTTTCTTGCCAAACCATGTCTAAAAGTAATTTTTATTACCTGCAGGAATTAAAATAAAAATTTCTCAAATTCAGTTCTGTGCTCTCCCATTCAACTATGAGCCGAGAGGAAACTGGACTTATAATATATATATTAGGTCAGGACCTAACAAGAATATACATTTCTTTAATTCACTCAAGCTACAGACTAGGAAAATGGTAAATGATATATAGGGATTTCTGGAAACAAAATGGCCCAGCTGCTATCCAATACATAGGCAGAAAATACCTAAATGTCCTCATCAGTGGTGGGATTCAAATTTTTTTACTACCGGTTCTGTTGGTGTGGCTTGGTGGGCGTGGTCTGGCTTGGTGGGCGGGGCAGGGGAAGGATACTGTAAAATCTCCATTCCCACCCCACTCCAGGAGAAGGTTACTGCAAAATCCTCATTTCCTCCCAATCAGCTGGGACTCTGGAGGCAGAGAATAGATGGGGGCAGGCCCAGTCAGAGGTGGTCCTTACTGGTTCTCTGAACTACTTAACATTTCTGCTACCAGTTCTCCAGAACTGGTCAGAACCTGCTGAAACCCACCTCTGGTCCTCATGCTTTAATAAATAAAGCATCAATAATCAAATTGTATCTATTTTCACATGTACATGCTAGAATCAGTGGAATTTCTTCTTTAGACGAAATTCTTTAGACATCAAAGAATCAGAAACTTGTGGAGGCGGGACAGACTTCAAAATATAATCTGACCTTAATATGCAGTATGAATGGTGAAGCAATCCATGGCTTTTGGTTTAACAAAAACTACACCACTTTTAAAGTATATATTGCAAGTGTTGGTGGAAGATTTTTAATATATCTTGATCAGTATCTTGTAAATGCCTAAGTATATGATGAAAGAATTAGCAGCATTAAGTACATTATGTAAGAGATATGAAATATATGCAGTCACATGTTGTCTATAATATACGCTAGCTGATTCCTATCTTTAGTTTTCATCTCATGAGCTAGAAGCACAGTGGCTTTTGTGGTTAGAACACTGAGCTGGAGATTAGAATTCATGATTGAGACCCAAGTGTTGCCGTGGAGTAGGGTGAGCTCTCGTCCTTTGCTCCAGCTCCTGCCAGGACCATGAAAGGAGCTTCCAACAGGCAATGGTGAACAGGCTAATCCTCTCAACCCAATAGCAGCTCAGTGCTTCTGACATGAGTGCAATGCGATCTCATGGGCTATCAAACTTGGGAGATTTCAGGAAGTTCTTGCTTAGAGGAGAAGGTAAAGAAATCCTCTTGCAATATAGCTTCCCATTTATGTCTGGTTACAATGCTTTCAAGAAAGTCTTTTGTTTAAAAGAGCATAATTTCTACACAGATGTGATTGAATGCACACCTTTTGATTCATGTTAAATGAATTGAATATGGATTGCATATGATTTTTAGATCAGTGAAATTCTCCAGTTTGTGCCTAATACCTTTTTCTAATTTATCACTCGTTTTGGCTCTGTTCTTGGGAGATAAGCATAAAACGTTAGCCTATAGTAAGAGAGTTGGGACTGAAAAGAACCCTAGCATGGATGCAGTGTAGAAATTTGAATAATGCCTCCCCAGTGCCTGAAATCCATTCTTCAATGATTAATTATAACAGACCATGTTCAAAACAACTGTGAATACTAGTGGCAATTGAAATACTTTTCAAAAAGCTAGGGAAATTCTGTCAGGCAAAGGAAGCTTACCAAATTATAAAACATGAATCATCCTTGGATGCCTACTCAAATGCAATTAGTGGAATGTAATTAGCATCTACTTTCAGTGTGAAAAATCTTGGCTCAGATTTCCTAGTTCTATCCTGAATATTTTTAGAAATAGACTGACTTAGAAATAAACTGACTTTTGAATATTTTTGAATCAAAGGAACCCTTTTTAAAATTGTACTTGTTTATGAATAATAGTGCTTTAACACAACTCATCTAAACACACATATTTGGATGTCCTTCAGCAATAGAATAACCATTTGCAAGATGAGGAAGAAATAAAATCCATGTTCTTTGATACATTCTCTCTCTCTACTATTGATCTGCTTTCTCTCTCCCTCTCCCTCACTCCCTCTCTCTCTCACACACACATGCACACATATTCTTCAACCTGATATGAAATATGGATGAATTAACCATATTATGAGCCATGTCCCAAGTTAAGTAATGCTGATTTATAAATCTGACCACTAAAAATCACTAAGGCTGTAAGCATAGACACATTTCAACTAGAACTTATCCCAAAATTCACCATTTTATGGTATAGTGCTCTATTTAAAAAATGTAGCAGCCATTATCCAACCCATAGCAAATGTCACTGAAATGTACCGAAATCAACTGATATAAGCTTCCTTAACATGGGTAAATCATTTATAGAACTATGTTATTATATGTTATTGTAACGGTAAGGTAAAATTATCTCCTTTGTTGACATTCACAAAATAAATCACAATGTTGATGATTCTTTAACAAATTTAAATAATTTAAATAATTATAATTTAAAGTATAGAGAACTATGACCAATCTAAACTGGCAGTCCTTAGCAATAAGCTCCATGAGAAGGTTTCCTGCTAAAAATCTTCTTTTCTCTGTTAAAATATTGTCCTATTGATTTTAATGGGAACTAAGTTCATCAAACATAATTTAGCTCCAATGTATCACTATTATTTTAACTTAATTCTGATTAAGGCAATCTAATGTTGTCTAATCCATACAAATAGAACTTTATATAAGGGCTTGGGTAGTATAACAGCACCAGACATCTCTACCTATGTAGTGAACTGCGCTAAAGAATTTTCCATATATGCAACTCTGTTGGCTTTCATGCAAGTTTAAATGTGTAAACTCACTGTCAAAGATTATGGAAGCAAACATGCATAAATTGTACACATGAAGATATCTCAT